AAATTCATTTAAAAAATAAACAAAAAAAAATCACCATAAAAAACCCCAAAAAATTTATTTAATAATCTTACCGTAAAAGAGACGAGAGTAATTGCAAAAAAAAAGTCATCGAAAAAAATTTATTTAATAATTTTATCATAAAAATGGCGAGTTTTTGCAGAAAGAGCAACAGCGGCAGCAGCAGCAGCAGTGTGATTGGAGTTCTTCGGAAGCAATCCAAAATGATCCAGCGATTGAGCAAGATGAGCAAGATTGTGCTGCTGGTAGCAGTGGCATTGATGCGCTAGCAGTGCTGGCTGATGCAGCACTGGCTGCAAACTCCGAACAATTCTCTCTACCGCATAGTATGTCACGCGAAATCCCAGCACTACCGTTCGATGAGCGTCTCTCAACAGGGGCATGCCCAGTGCCACCACCCAAAGCTCTCTGCCATCTTTGTGGCTCGTAAGTCCTTTTTATTTTGCGTTTTTTTTTGCATCTATGTAGTGCTAAAAGGTTGCAAAATTTGTTTCAGAAGAAATACAAATTCAACGTTAATACAGTGCGATTTTTGTGCTCTTTGTTATCACCTTGATTGCTTAACACCACCGCTTTCATCAACACCAAAGGACAAGTGGATGTGCCCCGCTCATGTTGAACATATCTTAGTGAGTTTTAAGACCGTTTTAGTAGCTATGCACTAGAGTTGTTACTTTTCAGCTGTTCTTTTTTTTGTCGTCTAAATGCTTCAGATTCGTAAAACTACCAAAGAAATGATAGCCGAATAGTGCAGAAATCCATACGAAGCCAGAGTTTGAGATTTTGCGAGCTTGACTTCCACAAGACAAGTCACACTTAGCAGCTGAAATCAGCCTAATAATTGCCTTTTTCAGTTTACCTCATTTTGTATCTTCCAGCAATTTCACATCAAATATTACCGTATTTTGATGAGGAAGAAGAATCTGTGAATTTTTCCAGATTGATAAACAAGTTTTACAATAACAAAATCTGTGAATGTGATTTCAGGATCAAAAATTTGCCAAAACTCTTTCTTTGCAACAACGGCTACGATTTTGGAATAAATACGCAAGGCAGCCGGTTGACGAGTATGCTGTCAAGTTATCATTTCTCAAAAAAGCATCTGAAGAGCGAAAGGGCTCAAAAATTGAGGTTAATCTCAGATTCTAACCCGAGCAACATTCTCTGCTGTTTAAACGGTTAAATGATCTTCCGATAAATAGGAAGAAAAGAAAGAGCCCAGGAAGCCCAGCCAAAATTAGTCATTCAAAGCAAGAATCCTTTGGAATCTTAACTTTTCTAAGCGTTATTATGCTCCATTTTGTCGCCGATTTTACAGCATAGAGTTTTCTAGCATTTATTATAGAAAAATTCATATCTTCTTTTTACGCGCCACATCTTTTTACGTTATTGTTTTGGACAAAAAATATCAAGGCCGCCCGAGCTATCAGTGTGTGGATATCCCATATTGATGATTTTACTGGTACTTATTTTGTCAAGGTAGAAAAACTCGCTCCTTTCCTCTGCACCGCGCTGCATATTCATCCCTGTGAGAGGATCTTCTTGCCAACAAGGTGCCTCATCGTGGTTTAGGATTGGCGGCGTTCACGGGTAATTGCACTCCTGGCACCTTTCGAAACGGGTTTTTCCTTGCCGGTTGCTTCTGCCTAAGGAGCCATTAAGCTCGTAGGCGGCGGATCCACGGCGGTCTCTTGGAGCGGGAGAGAGGGGGAGGGGGGAGGGGATTCTTCGTCTCGCGTTCTCCCTTTATCGCTACACCCCTTTCGGCCAGCTCCCAACCCACCCCTCGATGTTCACGCGGTATGGAGTACCCCCGACTCCCCTGGATTTACCAGTGGTTGAGCTGGCTTCTGTTGCGGAAGACGAAACAAATTACTGGAACCGCCAGCAATCTGACCAACAAGCGATACGGCACTGGTAAAAGCAGCTGAAAAAGTGCATAACTGGAGAACCAGAAAACCAAAGTTGATCTAAGTATTCTAAATATGGCCTTTTTTCTCCGCCGATGCAGTGACGAACAAAATTTTCACTTTGCCTTTTTTTAGAGTAACCTCATGCAAGTGCTGGGCCGGAATTTTTTGTCTTTTTAAGCTGCCTTAGCATTATCCACTTATCTGTCATTCTGCATCCTGCTCTGTCCGCCTGTTGTCTCTCATTTTCATGCGTATAATCAGACTAGCTGTTTTTGCTGATATTTTTTTATGCGTTTTTTGCAGTAATGCAATGCAAAAAACGCATATTGACGAGAGGTTGTCTGT